ATATATATATATATATATATATATATATATATATATATATATCGATTAATTTTTAATATTTTTAATTATTAAGTTCATTATCACATAAAATTACTTATCTTATCTATAATTATATTCCAATCATTTTATCCTTTTTTTTATGTAAAAAAATAAAATAAAATATATACAAGATAAAATTGTTTTCCACTTTCATTTGAACAATGAATTTTTGTAATAATAAATACATGCATAAGTATATATAAATTATCTAAAAGTTTGGATTCAAACCAGTTTGAGCAGTTGAATCTACAAATAGTTATTATCAAAAATATTATTTTTATATAATATAATATAAAACACAAAAAATTAAATATATCAAATTTATCATCTTCAAATAGTTTTTTATTATATATATATATATATCATATTAATTGTGCAATATAATATAAAAAAATATAAATTTTTCGTTTTGAACAAATTATATTTCTAGGGTATCGAGTATGTTTTTGGAATAATGGGACATCCTGTGATCGATTTAGCCTTATCCATGCAAATTGCGGGCCTTCAATATCTTGGATTTAGAAATGAACAAGCTGCATGTTATGCTGCGCAAGCTTATGGATATTTAACGAGTAAGCGGCAAAAAAGAAGAATTGTTACATATGAAACAAATGATTTTTAAGATATAATTAAAATATTCATTATTACACGTAAAGGTTCTTTCTTTTATTTATGCGAATATCACGAGTTAATTAATTTTTATAATTAGGAAAACCAGCAGTAGTTTTATGCGTCTCTGGGCCAGGATTACTTCATGTTATCGGCGGTATGGCGAACGCTCAAATAAATTGCTGGTAAATCTTGTTTTGTTTATATAACTATAATATAATTTAATTCATTTTATAAATTCTAAATTAAAAGTGTTTTCTATTCGAAAGAAATATATTCTATGCAAAATTCATTGACACAGCATATTATAATAATTAAAATTTTTTTATATTATTGTATTGGATTGTTGTATTGAATAATTATCATGTCTTTTGTTAATACATAAATCTTTCATCTCATAAGAATAGTAATCTTATATGGAATAATTATAATTATATAATTTGATTTACATTCATTATATCATTTAATTTAATTTAAAAGAAATAGTGTATAAGTTAATATAATAGATAATGATTATATAAACTATGTTTTGTAGAATTGTGTTAAAAAGTATAAAAACATTAGAAAAGATCTTTTATTCTTTTAACATTTCTTATTTTTATTATTGTAATTTATTCCATGCTCTTATGTAGGCCACTTATAGTAATTGGTGGATCTTGTGCTCAGGACCATGAAGGTATTGGAGGTTTTCAGGAATGGCCACAGGTAGAATCTAGTAAACCCTATTGTAAATATGCTGTCAGACCGCCGTCTGCAATATTAATACCGCTTCACGTGGAAAAAGCCGTTCGAATCTCTATTTATGGTCGACCTGGTAGATTTGATATATAGAATTTACAATTAATTAGAGTAAAAAATATACGTTTTTATATTATGAATTTTTTCAGGTGTTGCGTATTTAGATTTACCAGCTACTATCTTAAATCAATCAGTTGACGAAGAAAACATATATAAAGTAGCGCAATGTCCACCACCGCCTCTGATATTTCCCGATTATCGACTTATTAAGCAAGCGGCTACTTTGCTCATGCAAGCAAAAAAACCATTGTTAATTATAGGAAAAGGTAGTTGTAATAATAAAATATTATCATATAGATTTAAGAAAAAATTTATATTAATTGCAAAATTCTTTTGGAATTTTGAAGGAGCTGCCTATGGAAGAGCAGAAAATGAAATTCGTAGTTTAGTATATTTAACCAAAATTCCTTTTCTTCCTATGCCAATGGCTAAAGGTGTTGTTCCGGATACCGATGAACGATGTATTTCTAGCGCTAGAACATATGTATTGCAACAAACCGATGTCATCTTGTTGTTAGGCGCTAGATTAAATTGGATGTTACATTTTGGCAAACCACCTCGCTTCCAGCCTGATGTTAAAATAATACAAGTATTATAATATTGCTCCAAAAATTTTTATTAAAAAAAAGTTTAATATATTTATATTGTAGATCGATTTGTGTCCAGAAGAATTACATAATTCTGTTTCTTCTGTAATTGCAATTCAGTCTGATATATCTACAGCTATAGAAAGTCTTGTTACTATTTTGAAAGAACACAAATGGTCTATTACAGAAAACAATCCATGGTGGAAAGATTTATTAGCTAAATCAAATAAAAATAAAAGAATAATACAGGTAAATGTCATGTATTAGCATTAGTAACAAAATAAAATATTTTTTGTTTTTTTTTTATTTTGTAGAAAATGTCAATGGATACTTCAATACCATTAAATTATTATGCTGTTTTTAGACATATTCAAGATGTTCTTCCATCTGGCTAGTAACAGTTTTTATATAAAGCAAAATATATAAATTTAATAATATAATTATAAAATAAATAATAAAAATATGAAATAAATAATAAATATTTTTTATTTTTTTATAGATTGTATTATTTGCTCAGAAGGAGCTAATACTATGGATATCGGAAAGATGATTTTATTAAATAATAAGCCGCGACATAGATTAGATGCTGCTACTTTTGGTACTATGGGTGTTGGTTTGGGATTTGGTATAGCAGCTGCTCTTTATTGTAAAAATTATGCTCCTACAAAGCGAGTTCTTTGTGTAGAAGGAGATAGTGCATTTGGATTTTCTGGCATGGAAATTGAAACAATGTTTAGGTGTATTAAATTTAAATTATTAAATACAAAGATTAAAAAAAATTAGATTAATTTTTTTGATAACTTTTAATATTTTAGATATAAATTGCCTATTATTATCATTATTATAAATAATAATGGTATTTATAGTGGTTTTGATAAAGAAACATTTAGACAAATCCAAGCTTCAGGTGAATCAACACAAGTGTAAGTTTTCTGAAAATATACTTATACAGAAATAGATATAGAAATATTACAAATATATTGATTTTTAGAACACCACCAAATTGTTTAACATCAGAAACACATTATGAAAAAATGTTAGAAATGTTTGGTCGCAAAGGATACTTTTGCACTACTGTACAAGATATACAACAAGCACTTAAGATATGTCTTCAGGTAAACATAATTTTTCATTTAATTTTTATAAAAATTAGCAATTTTAATAGATAAATAATAATTTATTACAGATTACTGATTCTCCTAGTTTGTTAAATATTATGATTAATCCCCAGGCAGATCGTAAAGAACAAAAATTTACTTGGTTAACAGAATCAAAACTTTAAATTTCTTGATTTTAAAAATTTTATAACATGCAATTAATGGTGAAAAATTAAAGGTAAAAAGAAATGAAAAAAATATAAATTTTACATTTATTTCTATTGTTTGTAAATAACAAATGTAAATATATAAAATATTTATAATGAAAAATTACATATTGTTTAAACATGCTAATAATTTTTCTTTAAAAGCAGAAGAAGATAGATTATTTAAATTAAACTGCAATTCACTTTCATTCTCATCATTACTTAAAATATTTTTAACATTTATGTCCATGTTTTGGGCTATTGTGGTTAATGTCTTGTTTGCATCAATTACAGCTATGTGAAGTTGTCCATTCTTTTTTATAAGATCATTAATTATATCCAATTCATTTTTTCTAATAATTAAAAAAATTTAATTATTTACTTACTATTATTTATGCAATAAGATTATTTATATATATTTTGAAATATAAATTTTTTATTAAATTAAAATTAATGAAAATAATTTATAACCAAATAAAACAAATTTTTAGAAGTATTTGAATTTAGAAGTATCTTACATTTTTAATGTTGTATTATTAATAGAAATCAGTGTTTTTTGAATTTCAATTTTAATATCGATTTCACGATACTCGTCTGATTCCGTACTCATTTGCACCAAAATTATTTTATGAACTTTAAATAACAGAAGAATAATTATATAAAAATTATATAAAAATTTCAATAAAATAATGAATTATAAAATACATACATCATGAAAATTGAATATAATTCATAATATATATATAACATACATAAAAAATGTTATAACCAATGATATAACCAATGATTCTTTTTAAAATTAAAAGTAAAAAATTATAGGTCCAAAATCTTATTGCGTACTATTTTTTCATTGGTTACTTTTATATTTTAGATATACATTATATAAACATATATAACAAATTTCAATTTATCATATATATACATATATTTGTATAGAAATTTTATTACGTTATTATTATATATTTTTTTTTAATATATATCTAGTAATTAATTAAAATATATATTATTGGTTGTTACCAAGAGTAACATTCTACCAATGACAATATAGAAGAACTGTTGACTGTCGTTTCACCAATGCATGCAGCTGACGTCACTTAAAATCGTGTCGCATGAAATAGAACCTTGAAACTGTAAATTATCGTAAAAAGTCATGACACCGAAAACATTGAGTATAGAACAGAGCGACGAGACAAAACGTGTCGTGATGATAATGAACAGAGGTCCATAAACTGGAGACCGTGTACACTTGAGGTTAATCATTCTTGGTATCACGCTCCAAATGCTTGCGCAGTTTGATCGTAATTTTGTTCGAGTGCCTGGTTTTTCTATTAGCTGATGAATTCAGAATCGTTTTGTGGAACCGCGTAACTAAAAGATTGTTAAGATTTTTCTAGTCTTTTGCTGACAAAATATATTAATATGGCAGATTTTGCGTTAAATGGATTTAGCAGTGATCAGACTGAGAAAATCCTCCAATTTCAGGTGAATCATCATATTATATGCTAAATTATTTAATTTTCAATTTAATTTTTATAGTTACAATGAAATAATAATATTATGATGGTTTTAGGATTTGACAGGCATCGAGGATCTGTCAATTTGCAGAGATGTCTTACAAAGGCATAATTGGAATTTGGAGGTTGCAGTTCAGGTAAATTTCTCTTGCTATATATTCTTTAAATGTTATTAATTGTTATATATTTGCAAAAAATAAAATTGCAAAAAGAAATTTATATATAAATATAATTGTTTTATAATTTTAACATATGTGATTTTTGTATCATATATAGGTCAATTGTATAACAGAAGTTATTAATAATTCATTATAGATTGATAAAAGATCCTTAAAAAATATTATATATTATTTACATAATGTCAATAATATATATTTTCATATTATTTATTTTATATATCCAAATGGTTGATATTTATTAATTAGATTTTAAAAAAACTTTAGAAAATTGTTAGGAAAATAGGTATAAATATAATTATATTGTAAAAGAAATGTTTCATTGTTTTATTTAGGAACAATTAAATTTATATGAAGGAAGACCATCAATGTATGCACAGGACTCAAGATCACGACCACCTCAGGTTGTTGATGACAGCAGTTCTAGAATATATTTTCATTATTCTGGAAGCTCTAATGGCAGGGGTAGTTATTTATGGTATATCTTTTCATTATGTTATGAAAGAGTGATCAGCATCTTACAACTACTTCTTTCAATATTTAGGAGAAATGTTAGACCTGGTATGTTTCAATTTTATAGTGATTTTTAGAAAATAGTTCTATAAGAAAAACTAACATACATATTAATTGCATTTCAAGTATCTTCTGATCCTGTGGAAGATGTGATTAGCTTCATTCGAAGTTATGAGGAATGTTATGGTAATAGTCATCCTGTTTTTTATCAAGGCTCTTATAGTCAAGCTCTTTCTGATGCAAAACAAGAATTGAGGTTTTTATTGGTGTATTTACATAAAGATGAAGCTCAAAATATTGATCAATGGTGCAGGTAACTTTTTTTAGATTGTTCTGTTGAATTGAAAATAAATTTTAAAGAGAAGTTAAAATAATTAAAATTAAATTTTGATATATAGAAATACATTGGGTAATCTAGAAGTTGTTCGATATATAAATACACATACTTTATTTTGGGCATGTAATGTACAATCAGGTGAAGGATATAAAGTAGCAGAAGCTCTTAAATCTGGTTGTTATCCTTTCTTAGCCATTATTGTTTTAAAAGATAATAGAATGACAATAGTTGGCAGGTAATAATCTATGTATATACATTTTATTTTTAAATTTTTAAATTAATGAATATAATTATAATATCAAAGATATATCTATATTGCAGAATGGAAGGCACGCCATCACCATCTGATTTAATATCTCGTTTGCAAACGATTATAGATCACAACGAAATTAATTTAATACAAGCTCGTCAAGAGAGGTAAGAAAAATAAAAATTAATTAAATTTTTGATTTTTTTATATTATATTGTTTATTATTTTATCATAGAGCTGAACGTAGTGCCGCGCAATCTTTACGTCAACAACAAGATCAGGCATATGAAGAATCATTACGCGCAGATCAAGAAAAGGATCGTAGAAGAGAAGAAGAACGAAAAGCGCGCGAAGAACAAGAGGCTAGAGAAAAAGAACAATTGAATGCACAAGAAATGGAAATTCAACGCATTCGTCGTGAGAAAGAACTTACTGTTTGTAAAGTGCCTCTCGAACCAGAGCCTACTAATCCTAATGCATGTCATCTTCAAATTAAACTTGGAGAAAGGACAATGAAAAGACGTTTTCTAATGTCTGATACAGTAGAAGTACGTCGTTTGATTCTTAATTTATTTATTATTAATTTTAATATTATAATAAATTATTTTATTTTTTAGGATGTATATTATTGGATATTTAGTCAGCCAGATTCTCCAGTGAGTTTTGAAATAACTACAAGTTTTCCGAAAAGAATTCTATATCCGTGTAGAGAAATTTTAACATTATCGGACGTCGGATTAACACACAGAGAAGTTCTCCATGTCAATGATTTAGATGATTAACCTTTATTGATATTTGAATATTGCATTCTTTATGTTTAAGTATCATTCCACAGAAAAATGATACTGTCGTAAGAGACATTTATAAAAAAAAAATAATATATATATATATACACACATAAAAATATATATATATTTGATACATTCGAGTATTTTATGTGAAGCGTAGTACAGGAATGCAGTTTTATCACAGATCTATAAAATATGTTAAAAAAAAAAATCAAAGAATGATTAATTGTATTGCATTTTCTGCATAGAACTATTGTATCAATTATGAATACATTTATTACATACTGTGAATAATACGCTCACTAAAGTACACATTGAATAGAAAACAACAGATTTTGTTGTAGAAAC